AAAGAAAGCGATGAGGTGGGAGAAGATCCAAAGGAAAGTGATGATGACGAGGGAGAAGATCCAAAGGAAAGCGATGATGAGGGAGAAGATCCAAAGAAAAGTGATGATGAGGGAGAAGATCCAAGGGAGAGCGATGAGGAGGAAGCAAATCCAAAGGAGAGCAATGAGCAGGAAGAAGAGCCAAAGGGTGGCAATGAGGAGGAAGAAAGTGAGAGCGATGAGGAAGAAGGCCCTGCCAGAAAAAAAAGGAAGGCGACCCCTCAAGAGGAGGATGATAAAAAGACAGCTGAGCTTCTGATGGAAATTGCTGACCTGCGGGATGAAATCGACAAGCAAGACGCAGCTAGAGCAGCTCAAGCAGAAGTGTCTGAAGAGACAGATCTACAAGAGATGTGGGATGAAAATGCTGAAAGTGAGGGGACGGGCATCCCTGATGATGAGATGGATCCCAACACTGATGACCCCCCGTCACCACCAGAGCCAAAGAAGAGGCCGCGTGAAATGAAGAAGACGGGTGAGAAGGAGCTGCCAAAGAGTGGTGAAGACATGGAGGATGATAATGGTGCAGGGAGTGCTGAAGAGATGAGTGAGAACGAAGCACCTGACATTGAAGTGGAGGACGATGAAAGTGAACCAAAGGCAGCAAAGCAAGAGAAAGATGAAAGTGGTGCAACATGCCTGAGTGAAGAAGAACAAGAAAGTCAAGAGGAAGATCAAGAGGAAAATGAGGATGAAAGGAAGTTGCATGACAAGCACAACGGTTCCAAGCATCAGGAGGATGAGGCTGATGAGGAAGAGTCTGACAGGGAGGATGAAACAACAAAAGGTGAAGTAAAGGATCAGAAGAAGGAGGCGGCTGATGATGAAGAGAGTGAAGACACCAAAAGTGACAGCAGCAGCAGCACCACCAGCAGCAGTGATGACAATGGTGACAGTTCCAGCCCCAGTGAAGAAGAACATGAGTGCGACAGTGATGCAGTTGAATGTGAAGACACTGTGGACGAGGCAGGCCCCTCCTACATCAGAACACAATACCCAAAGACTGATTTGAAGAGGTGGACAAGAACGAAGAAATCTACCCCTTTTGACCCCAGCTTGCCATCATCTTATGTGGTCCGATTGGCAAAGCTACACTGCAAGAAACAAATTACTATTTCTGAGGCTATGGCTCTGATAGATGCTGAAGTTACTCCAAGTCCAATTTAATATATTTTATGTTTCCCTGTGCCTGCAGAGTACTCAATCCCTAGCACTTCCAACGGGTGTCCAATGGAGACCTGTAAGTAGGGTAGGGTAGTCTATTGGACACCCATTGGATGACCCTGGGATCAACTGCTGTTGGTTTGATGATCTCAAGTCCTTTGCTTGGCAACGTACGTCCCAAAAAACTTGTACATGTGAGGCTGATCAGAAGGAGGGACTGAAGATTGAAGCTGTGGTGAAGAAAGAGCCTGCAGAGCTTCCTCAACCGGCACATCGGATGCGGAAGAAGGGCTCTGGTAACTTGCTGGCACACAGTTGGTCAAACCCCAACGCCATTTTGTGCTTCCAAGACTTTCCAAGGGTGGTTCAGTGTAGGGTTGTCCATTGGTGACCCGTTGGAACCAGTGGTTTCCAAATATCCCTTCCACTTTCCCTTCCTTGAACACTCAGGAGTGATGCCAACGGCTGCATCTGCGGAACCAAAGCCGGATGCAAAGGCGGCCTCCACAAAGCCCAAGGTTGAGGTGAAGCAGGCCTGACAGCATCACATGATTTCACATGTGAGTCATGTGATTAGTATACCATGTCTTTGGATTTGGTTGCCCTCCCCCTGGCTAGGAAGAAAAAGCATGCCACATCGAGACCTTTGAGGACTTCTGTGACTTTATGAGTTCTAAGTATCAGGTCACGATATCCAGAGCACAACAAATTGCATTGCAAAAGGGGTGCGGTCCTGTGCCTCTGCCATCGAAGCAGTTGGAAATCATGAACGCCAAAAAAGACAAAGAACCAAGAATGCACCTTTCCTTTGCAATTGTGCATTCCATGAAATTCCCATGTTTTGTCTTTGGAAATAGGATACTAGCTAAGGCAATATGAAGTGATCCAACAGCTCGATGTGCAGGACGGCTGGAAGGTGGAATTCCGTAAGCGTCGAAATGGGAAGCGTGAAGGCGATCTATACTATGTGTATATATGCCCTCAGGGGAGGCAAAAATACACAAAGTGTCTTGCCGATCACCAGTGGCTAGTGTTGGTGATTGTGCACTGATTTTTGCATGCATGCTCTCATGCTCAGACCTTCTTGTTGGAAAGCTGAGGAAACAGGCCGAGTCTGATGGCTTCAAGGACCCCAATGACATGGTTAAGCAAGCCAAAGCCCGGCTGCTTGCTGTCAAAATATTTCTGTGTGTGACTATGGGCTGGTGAGTGATATTCCTGTAATTTGGGTGAGGGGAATGCAACTATCTAGCTCCACCCATCCGTTGTAGTTTCCGTTTCCATAGTATGTACAGTCTTGGTTCCTGATCTATACATTCCAGCTGAGGCTGATGAAAGAGCACTGTGGTGAGAGAAAGCCGCGAAACGCTACTGCGAAGAAAGCTGCTTCGAAGAAAGCAGCTTCGAAGAAAAAACGACCGGTGCCAAGGCACAGGCACAGTAGGCGCCCAAAGGCTTGTCAGTGCTTGAACATTGAACAACAGTGTTTTTCTAAATGTTTTGCTGACAGGGTGCCCAGTTGTCTTTTTTCCCGACCAAGGGAAGTAGCCATGGTTGAACCTTAGGGGAGGCTAGAAACACCCACATGTACTTTTAGGACTTTTTAGGTGTGCTGTGACACATAATCTCTTTCGATTGGTTCCATTTCGGGGTGGGTGAGCTAGCCTCGTTTATTGAGTCTGATGGGAACAGTTCATTGCAATTATGTTTAGGTGGCCAGTGATGCTTATATCCCAGAAG